GGAATGCCCCTCTGCTCTCCATGTGGGAAACACACGCCAAACTCTCCAGTCAGCTCAAAACGCCCCCTCCCCCTTCCCTCTCCCCACACCTTGGAAGCCTCTACCAGGGATCCTCTGCCAGAGCCATGCTCATACCCCAACGAGGTCATCTGTTTACACATCCAGTTCCCTCACTGGACTGCCACTTCCCTGAGGCAGAGGGCAGGGCAGGGCTGGATCAACCCTGGGTCCCTGACAGGGCTAACATGGGGCCGGGCAGCAGAGTGGTGAGAGGTTCCGAAGCCCCAGGCTTGCACTGATCCTGGATGGGCCCTTCCCTGGCTGTGTGACCTGGGGCAGGTGACCTCCCAGTCTGGCCGCCCCAGTTGTGAGCGGGGTTTACAAGAGGGACCCCTCCCAGGGTTATTCTGGGTTTCAGTAAGACGACACAGGGAGAGAGCTTTGCCCAGAGCACCCCTGAGGGCAGCTTTGCCCAGAGCACCCCTGAGGGCAGCTGTTAGTAGCAATGCATGTGTGCTGAATACATGAATGCAGACAGGGCATGGCCAGTACTTCCTGTCAGCTAAGCAGGAAAACCAAGCCTCAGACACAGGGAGAAATCCTCACCTCAGCCAGACAAATCCTAGCTACAGCTGGGCCCAGAAGCTGTCCATTGCCTCAGCAAACATTCACTGAGTATCTGTGTGCCAGTCCCTGTGTGGGCAGCCTGCCAGTGACCCAACCAAAGCAAGATGAGGAAAAGAAATGGTGTGCAGAGAGGGGAGGCATGGGGGCCTCCTGCAATCAGGAAGGGACCCTCTGAGCAGATGTTATTCACAGGAGGAAGAGCAATCCAGGCAGGAGTAACAGATGCAAAGACCCTGGGGTGGCAGGGACTGAATGTGAAGATGTGAAAACAAGGCCACTGTGGCTGGAGCTCACGGCGGGGAGGGATGAAGAGGGTGGAGATGAGGTCACAGAGCTGGGCTGGGACCTTGGAGGCTGAGGGGGGGAGGTGGGTTTCATTGGGGTTACAACAGGAAGCCCCCCGACTGTTTTGTAAGCTAGATAGTGGTATTATCTGATTGACATCTTTAAAAGCTCCCTCTGGTTTTGGGTGAATTACAGACTGCCAGTGGGGCAGGATGGAGGCAAGACCGGGGAGGAGGCTGGAGCAGGTGTTCAGGCGGGAGGTGGCAGTGCCAGGACCAGGGTGGGGAGCTGTGGACAGATTCAGAATTCGTTTTGGAGGCAGAGCCAACAGAACCCTCTTAGGAACTGGGAGTGGGCAATGAGGTCGCAGAGAGGAGTCAAGGACAACACCCAGGCTTGGGGACCCACGTGCTAGGAACCCACTTACCACTTTCCCATATCCTTCCTGACAAGAAGTCTTTTACCTATTCCCCACCACATCCCAAGGACTATGGCTTGTGGGCTGGGACCCTGAGTACAGGAACAATGGGGTTTGACTTGCCCTGACAAAAGCTTCCATCACCTCTGTCAGCCCTGGGGATGCCAAAGAGTGGAGGGAATGAAGGGGGCTTCAGCCCAACTGTGAGGCTGTGTCCCACTTCACAGGTGGAGAGCCCAAACCCCAAAGAACCACCAGACCCAAATCCCAGGATGAGTGAGCGGCCCAAGGGGTATTTTAACCTCCCAAAAAGTTGGCATTATCCCCACTTCAAGATGAGGAGACAGCTGGGAGGGAAAGTCACCATCCCCGAGTCACCCAGCTCATCTGTTGAGCGTTCACTGTCCCAAGCCCTTTAAGACGTCAGTTCCCCAAATTATCACAACGCTGTGAAGTCTGGACTACTGCTACCCTCATTTAACAGGGATAGGGCCTGATGACTGGAGAGATGAAGTCGCTCCCTCTTAGAGCTGGTCGGGACCGGAATGTTGGAGGTGGGGTCGGGGCTCTGGGGGACCAAGACAGTTCGTGATGTCGCACTTCCTTTGGCGATAAAGCCCCGCATGTCACGATGTCAAGCCCCCTCCCCGCCCCGACGCTCAGGCCGGCCTCCCAAACCTTCCCGAACAGGAAAGGCCCAGGCCTGGCGCCCGGAGGACGAGGCCTCAGTTGGGGGTCTCGGGGGACCCCATCCCCACCCACCCAGGCGATTTCCGGGGGAGCCGCGACCCGGAAATGAATGAGTTGTCAGGGCCTGGAAACCTAGATAGGGTCAGGGGTCGGAGATGGAGCCAGGACGGGGTCAGCAAGAAGCTCACAGCAGGACCCGGGGGGGTCGAAGGTGACAGGTCAGAGAGAGGGGCGGGGCCGGGCCCGAGGGGGACGGCCAGGGCGGTGAGGGGCCTCGGGGGTTACTGGAGGTGGGTGGGCCCGCGGCGCCATTTTGTCTAGCGGAGGGGGAGTACGGCCCTGGCGGCCACCCTCACCATCTTCTGTTTCCTCCGTCGCCGCCTCAGCCACCGCCTCAGCCGCCGCCGCCGCCACCGCCACCACAGCCGCCTCCTTAGCAGCCGCCGCACAGTAACTTCTAGCCACGGCACAGCCCACACTGCTGGTGCGGCCGCCCTTCAGTCGTTGGTCCGCCCTCTGGCCCTGCCTCCAAGTTATGCGGTCTTTGCGCACTCCCATTGGCCAGACCCGGCAAAGTCACGCGCCCATTGGTCGCCACGCCGCCTCCCTTCGTGGTCAAGTTCAGTTGAGAGAGCAAAACCCCGCCCGGGACTTGCAAGCGAAGAGCAGCGAAATCCGGAAGTGGGCGGAGGCCGCGCCCCCAAAGCCCCTTGGGATTTGTAGTCTGCAACACCCGGAGGTCCCACCGGTCTCTCAAGCATTTGCTACGCTTTTTCATATGGTGGTTCATGGGGTTCTCACAGCGGCCCCCGGAAGGATAGGGACCCACCGTTACACTCCCAGCCTCCTCCCTGGGGTCCCAACCTTAGGTTTCGGCATATCTAAAATGCTCCCACACTAGCCGCTTGATATCTTTAAGCTGACAGAGCATCTTTGAAACACTTCCCTTGGCTCCCCAGTATCCCAAGGATCCAGTCCCGCCTCCTCGGTCCCAAATTCTGGGCCTCTCCGGCCTCCTTCGTCCACCTTTTATCCTGACCCGTCCAATCCCTCCTCCCTTTGGGCTCTCCCAGACCCTGCTACCTTCTCTAAGAAGCCTTCCTCGACTGCGTTCTTCCCAAGGCAAAGTCCAGTGCCTCCTCTGGGCTCCACAGTCCTCACAATCATCCTCCCAGCCCTGACTCCACTGTGTCCAAACTGCCTGGGTACGAATCAAGCCACCGCCCCCCCCACCACGACCACCATCAGCCTGACAGCCTGGAGAGAACAAGAACTTATTGAGGAAGCACTCAATAAGTTACTAAGTGGAAGCTACTAAGTATTATTACACCAACATCACAGCAAAGGAGAAATGAGCATCTCATTTTAAGGATGGATCCTCTTTATTTTTTTGGCTGCAGCAGGATGCAGGATCCTAATTTGCAGCATGCAGGATCCTAATTCCCCAACCAGGGATGGAACCCGCGCCCCCTGCAGTGGAAACCTGGAGTCATAACCACTGTACTGCCAGGGAAGTCCCATTTTATTGGAACCAAATGAACCTCAGAGGGCTAAGATCTTGCTCAAGGTCACAGAGCCCATCCCCAAGGGGCAGGTGGAGGATTCAAACCCCTCCCACCTCTCCACAAGCCTTCCTAGAACTGTGAGAATTGACATTTTATAAGACAAGTGAAAATTTGAACATTTATTAGATTTTTAATGACATGAAGGAATTGTTGACCTTTTTTTTTTAGCTTTGAAAAGCTTTGTGAATATGTATTAAAGGGCCATTATCTTAGAGAAGTGAGTTCTGAAATATTTACAGAAGAAATAACCTGCTGCCCGAGATTTGCACCTCAGGAGAGGGCAGGATAGGTTGTGGGTAGAGCTGTGTACTGGGTTACAAGGGCGTTCACTGTACCATTCTGTGGACTGATGCACATGTTCGAAATTCTTCCTAATTCAAAAGCGTAAAAAGGCATTTGGCAAGGTCTGACTTCCCACTCCCTCCTCCAGTCCAATCCCACAACTCTTCCCCTGGGCCAACCCCGAAATCTGAGAATTCATGTCCGTCCGAGTCCCAGTCGTCAGCGAGGAAAAATGCTTTAATGGGGGGGTCCAGCCGGCAGCGTCGCGCTCTCAGTGGCTCAACGATTTTCGACCCTTGTGCATGCGGCGAAGAATGACCTGGACGCCGCTTGGCTTGCTCAAGCGCCGGATCCAACCATGCTTGTTCTTGCGCTTGATGTTGCTCGGCTGATACTCGTTCCCGCGCGCCTTGCCCCGGGTCTGCTGCACGGCGGGGAGTCCCCAGGCGTCGGGGAGCCCCAGCCAGGCCCGGGGCTGGAGCCACCTGCCGGGGAAGGTTAGAGGGGGCGCTGTGTGACTTCTGCGTGGCGCCCAACCTCTGCGAGCTTGGGCTTCCCAATCAATGCCGGAGGGAGCCTGGCAGCAAAAGGCGCTCGAGGAGTTCTCAAGGCATTGGAAGGTCAAGTGGTTGGTAAACAGCTGGGGCCAGTCCCCGACGCCGCCCTTACTCCCAGATTTGGGAAGGGGTCCCCCTGAGGACTCACCTGCCACCCAAAAGCGCCGCTGACCTACTGACTGGCCCCAACAGGCGCCCCACCGATCTGGTCGAGAAAGCCATGTCCGCCGCCGGCACGCCGTCCGGTGGCAGCTATTCCAAAGCCCATAGGTTCCGCAGCTGCGGGACGAGGACTTCTGGGAAATATAGTTTCTTCTAGGCGGAGCCCTCATTGCCGCGGGAGTTGCAGTTCTACGTAGGCGCACTGCATCTTCGGCGTGAGCGTCAGAGCCCACAGGAGAGTGCAGTTCTTCTTGTGGACCAGCAGGTGACAGGCGAACGGCGCCTCCTCCGCATGCGCGTGCGTACAAGACATTATGTCCTTGGGTCTGCTGGGAGTTGTAGTTCCTTCTCCTGTAGATCTACAGAGGGTACCCTGGGGTGACGGTGGCGCAGCTGGTGGCAGCCTCAGGAAACGGCTGGTTGAATTTCCCACCCCCAGCGAGAGCCAGGCAGACGGCACACGGCTGGCAGCTTTCCCTTAGCCCCAGCCAAGTCTCCGCCCCTTGGCGGGGAGCCCAGAAGTCTGAGTTGGTGTTGGCTGGATGTCCTTGGGGTGGTCATTCAGTTTCTCAATCTGCAGAACTCATCGGTTGCAGGCTTGCCCTTGGCGGTGCCCCCGTTCAGGCCCTATTTTTCTAATACTCATATCTGAGCCCTTTCCCTTCTTACACACCCTTTACGGCTCCCCATTGCCCCAGGGAAAATATCTGGCAGGCATTTGAAGCCCGCTCTCGCCATACACACACACCCTAAATTTCAGCTACAACCTGGTGCTCCCCTAGTCATCTTTTTAAAATCCTCCTCAGATACTCTCCTTTCCCCCAATCCTATCCCTCCCTCTGGCCCAACACTGCCCCCACACAGCTCTCCCCAGACTCTCCCTGAAGCCCAGGGCGCCCTCAAGGGCCAGGCTTGCAGCTGAGTCCCTGCAGGCACCCCAGCATCTCCCAGCCTGGGGAGGGGGAGGGGAGTTTTTTCTGCATTAATAAACTGTAGTCTCCCAGGAGCACCTGAGTGGGCAAGAGTGGGTGGCTGGACCTAATCCAGCTCTGGCAGCAAATTCCAGGGGATAGGAATGGGTAAGGTATGATTAACCCTTTGTCTCTGAAGCCCATCCTACCTGCACCATCATTTAGCAAACCACTACAATACTACAGCAGTACAATAATAATGCCAGTGATGTATGGAGCACTTTCCCTGCTGAGCAAACTCATGAGGGAATTAATTCCATAGAGAAATAAATGGAGTCTCAGAGAAAGGACTTGCCCAAGGTCACATATCAGCAAAGGGTAGAGGCTGGATTTGAACTGTGGGCTTTCTGGCTCTGGGTGGGACCAGGGTCACCAGTTAAATTGGCCTATTTGTGAAACTCCAATTCCTTAATTACCCATAGCTCCAAGATATCTGTTTAATGGTTTAACGAATAACAATTTGCAGAACTTGGAATCACACAGCCTTGGTTCCAAGTCCCATCTCTGCCCCTCAGCTTGCCTTGTGACCTTGTGCCATTTATGAGCCTCAGTTTCCCCACCTGAAATTGCAAAGATCTGGGAGACTGTAGAACAGAAAGGTCAGCACAGAGAGAGGGGCATGGGGGCTCCGTTTGGAGGGGACAGGGCAGTTCGGAGGCAGAGGCTAGCCGAGGAGATCCTCTTTGCAGCGAGGGGGCCCGGAAGACCTCAGGATGCGACCCCTTCTCGGCGGTTAACCAGGCCCAATCCCTCCCTCCACCTCCGTAAACCTTGAGGGAGGCGGGGTCGTTGCCCCACGAACCCGCCCTTATCCCGGAGTTGCCGCCTCTGATTGGCAGTCTAACTAGGCCAGGTCATTATGCAGCTGCTATTGGCCAAGGATCCAGTCAGTCGGTGCACGGTCCCGCCCCCCCCCCGGGGGAGACACTTAAAGGGCCGTCTGGCTAGGCGGTAGCGGGATGTCCCCGCACTGACCGCCCTGGGCCCGCGCCCGCCCGCGTAAACGCGCCCGGCGCGACCCCGCGCCACCATGTAAACGGCGCCCGCAGGCGGACGCCGGCTTCTCTGCGCGGGACCCCTTTGCCCTGCCCCGGGCCCCAGGGCCCTCGATGAGGTGAGCAGGGACCGGGCCGTGGGAAGGGGACACTGAGGCCCCTGGGTCTTTCACTTTGGAGGGAGGGTGTCCACAAAGCCCTTAGGAAGCCGCGGAGCCCCAGTGGCCTCTACCCCGCAGCAGGATTGACGGGCACCCAGGAGGCGGGGGCCTGGCTCTGTGGAGGGGGTCTGGCGTGGCGCATCTGCGCCCCCTTTGGCAATCCCGAGTTGGAACCCCGCCGGAGGTGGGGGGCGCGGCCTGCTCCCCCTTCCTCAGCAAGTACGGGCCACTGCAAGCCGGGTGTTCGGCGTTCATTATCCCCGCGGAGCCCAGGATGGGGACGGGGAGGGGTTGGTCCCATCACCAGGGCCTAAACAATGGGGGTGCGCTGCGCGGGTATCCCCCTCGAGTTATGTAACTGCCTGCAGTTGCCATGGACACGGAGTGAGGGCTGTGGCCCACGGAGCGGGATGGAGGCCTGGAGGCCCCCGGCCAGGGCTTTACCTTCTCCATCCTCATCTCCACTACTGGGGGCTGTGTGCCAGATTTCCCAGAACCCAAGGTACTGAGCAGTGGGGACAGAGCACCTTCTTCCCAGAGTGTCTGAGCTCAGCTTGTAGGTCTGTGAAACAGACCCATTGCCCTCATGGTCTTGGGGAGCTGGGCAAGGGCTTCTGGAGCTCAATCCTGAAACCCCTCTCCCAGGGTCTCACCTTTCAGAAGCCAGGTTTAGAGGCCTGGGATGGGGACTCTTTGGGATCTGCACATTTTTAGATGCCTTTGGAGCCCTCAGGATATGCTGGTTTAGTGAAAGTGAATTAAGGCAACAGTGCATGAATGAATGAATGGACGAATGAATGAGTGGATTTAGGAAGGCATTACTGCTATAAACCTGAGCTGGAGGGTCCTCAAGGATGGGCCACATTTGCCACAACATCCCCTCCTCTGGGAAGCCACCCCCAACGAATGCCTCTTGGTGTCAGCCACGACCTTCTCTCTAGGATAGACTAGGCTGGCCTAGAAGGGTGGCCGAACGCCACACAGGCACTGACCAGACAAAACATCTCAGTGCGTGGCTGGTTCTGGCCACCCCCAAACTGGAGCCTAGATGGGGCCTCGCAGTGCAACCTACCTGACCCAGGTGTGGGGAGTGGGTGCTATGGGAGTGGAAGGCTTCCTGTTTAGATGGCCTCTGACCTGGCTGTCACGACCCCACTCACAGGACACACCATGCTGACCGGGGTGGCCGATGGGATCTTTTGCTGCCTGCTGGGCGCACCACCCAATGCTGTGGGGCCCCTGGAGAGTGTGGAGTCCAGTGATGGCTACACCTTTGTGGAGGTCAAGCCTGGCCGCGTGCTGCGGGTGAAGCATGCTGGACCCGCTCCGCTCCCCACCCCACCTCCACCACTGTCAGACGCCGCCCAGGGGGACCAATCTGGCTTGGTCCACTGCCAGCGCAGAATCACCGTGTACCGCAACGGGCGGTTACTGGTGGAGAACCTGGGCCGGGCACCACGAGCTGACCTCCTGCACGGGCAGAACGGCTCTGGGGAGCCACCAGCCGCCCTCGAGGTAGAGCTGGCTGACCCAGCGGGCAGCGATAGCCGCTCGGGCCCAGGCAGTGCTGGGAGTGGCAGTGGCGGACGACGGCGGCGAGCCCGACGCCCCAAGCGGACCATCCACATTGACTGTGAGAAGCGCATCACCAGCTGCAAGGGCGCCCAGGCCGATGTGGTGCTCTTTTTCATCCACGGTGTCGGCGGTTCCCTGGCCATCTGGAAGGAACAGCTGGACTTCTTTGTGCGCCTGGGCTACGAGGTGGTGGCGCCTGACCTGGCCGGCCATGGGGCCAGCTCAGCGCCCCAGGTGGCCGCCGCCTACACCTTCTATGCACTGGCAGAGGACATGCGTGCCATCTTCAAGCGCTATGCCAAGAAGCGAAACGTGCTCATTGGGCATTCTTACGGGTGAGCCAACACTGGGGTGGGGATGAGGGTGAAGGGTGGAGACTGGCAGGAACTGGACACCCACTCACAAAATACTGATTTCCCTTCTTGAAAAATCCCGCTAACATCTGCAACGAAACAGGGATTCCTGCCACCAATGCTATTGTTTCACATTGTTTTAAAGCAGTATCTCAATCCCTGAACTATTGACATTTTGAGTCAGGTAATTCTTTTCTGTGAGGGGCTTTCTTGTGCACTGTAGGATGTTTAGCAGCGTCTCTGACCTCTATCGACTAGATGCTGCTAGCACAATGGTCTAGTGATGATCATGACAATCAAAAATGCCTTCAGATAGTGCCAAAGTTCCTCTGGTAGGCAGAATCACCCCTAGCTGAGAACCATTGTCTTCAACTAAGTTCAAAAATTGGTTGCTCTGGGGGCTTCCCTGGTGGCGCAGTGGTTGAGAGTCTGCCTGCTAAGGCAGAGGACACGGGTTCGAGCCCTGGTCTGGGAAGATCCCGCATGCCGCGGAGCAACTGGGCCCGTGAGCCACAACTACTGAGCCTGCGCGTCTGGAGCCTGTGCTCTGCAACAAGAGAGGCCCCAACAGTGAGAGGCCCGCGCACCGCGATGAAGAGTGGCCCCCGCTTGCCACAACTAGAGAAAGCCCTCACACAGAAATGAAGACCCAACACAGCCCAAAATAAATAAAGTAATTAATTAATTAAAAAAAAAAAATTGGTTGCTCTGGAGACCCCAAGGGCTCCAAGGAAAGACTAACTGGAATCCCACAATTTTTGCTTACAAGGGCACAGGTTGCTATAATTCATTCTTCCTTAAAGGGGTGACAGATAATACCACCTAGCATTTAGATGAGAGCCCACGCCATGGAAGGCTCTGGGCCTGGGTGCCTGATCACTGCCAAGTGGTACCATTCTGTCCTTTACCCAGGAGGAAAGGCAGGATATGATCAGCCAGCCAGGTTGAGAACCACTGTTTTAGCAGTTGTAGCCCATGCAACTAGACAAGAAAAGGGAATGTTACATAAGTTTCCAAAAGAAAGGAAGCCAGACTGGGAAGTAGCATAGCTCCTATTTGCTTATATGAAAACATACCTCAAAGTGGATGCTTATGTAAATGACTCCTCCAATTAAATGAGCACCCACCTGTGGAAATTCCTGTGACCCCCATAACAATGCTGTGAGGTCAGCACAGTTACTATGTCACAAATGTGGAGATGGTAGCTCAGAGAGGTTAAGCAATTTGCCGAAGGGCACACAGTGAGTCACTGGGACAGTCAAGTCCACCTGACTCCTGCTTGTATCCTGTCCCTCTTTTCAGCAAGTGTTGGCAAACTTTTTCTTAAAGAGCCAAATAGTAAATATTTTAGGTTTGCAGGCCATAATGGTTGATCTCTGTTGAAACTTCACATGTCTACTGTTGTAGAAAGAAAGCAGACATAATTGTAAACAAATAGGCATGGTTTTATTCTAATAAATCTTTATTTATAAAATATTTTACACATTTACAAGATTGTAAACTTAAGTTTACAAGAACAAGCAGCTAGCCCACAGGCCATAGTTTGCAAAACAAACTCTGCTTTAGGGGGAATGAGGAGAGATACCTGCACCCTTCCACCTTGCATAAGGCAGGCAGATGTGCCACACCCAGGGGCCAATGAGAGAAGATCCTTAAAGGGAAGGGATATGCTGGAAACAGGGATGTTCTCTGAGAAGCCAAAGGGTTGGTTTAATCAAATAGCTTTCCTAACACTTGGCAATAAGTAATTCTTACTCCTTTGGGGGTTATGATGACTTTGAGGATCTGATAAAAGTTGTATATTTGGATCCTTTCTCCAAAAGAAAAAAAATCCACCCTTAACACACACACACACACACACACACACACACACACACACACACACACACAGTCAATTTCAGGGCATTCGAGATACCCCACCCATCCCTCACCCCCCATTTGGTGCCCATGGACCCCAGGGGAAGAATCTTGGCCTTCAAGTGTATGCCTCTGGGTGAGGGAAGGGCATTAACCCCTTCACTGCTTGTATCCTGCTGACCACTGCCCTTCAACCCTCCCCACCATCCATCCATGGGGCAGTGTCTCCTTCTGCACGTTCCTGGCTCATGAGTACCCAGATCTGGTGCACAAGATGATCATGATCAACGGCGGGGGCCCTACGGCACTGGAGCCCAGCTTCTGCTCCATCTTCAACATGCCCACGTGCGTCCTGCACTGCCTGTCACCCTGTCTGGCTTGGAGCTTCCTCAAGTGAGTGACCTGGCCCTGCCCTGGCATCTCCCCAGGGTGGATGGGAGGGGAAGCTATATGGCTGGGGCTGGCATGGGGGCACCCCCGGTGGCTGAGCTGTCATGAGGGCTCCAACAGTGCCTCCCCACCCCCAGGGCTGGCTTCGCCCGCCAAGGGGCCAAAGAGAAGCAGCTGCTGAAGGAGGGCAATGCGTTCAACGTGTCTTCCTTTGTGCTTCGGGCCATGATGAGTGGCCAGTACTGGCCCGAGGGCGACGAGGTCTACCATGCCGAGCTCACCGTGCCCGTCCTGCTCGTCCATGGCATGCACGACAAGTTTGTGCCGGTGGAGGAAGACCAGCGCATGGCTGAGGTATGGCACTTCGGCCACCACACCCTTCATATCCCCCTTGCACAGTCCAGGGGGACTCTGCCTTGTGCTCCAGCCCCAGGGACGTCAGAGCTTAGATGGAGAATCAAAGGTGGAATCCAGAAAGTGGGGCTGCCTTGGTAGGTTTATGTGCTGTCCCCACTGCACATTAAAAGGCACTCTTCATGGGACTTGCCTGGCGGCCCAGTGGTTAGGACTCCGTGCTTCCACTGCAGGGGGCACAGGTTTGATCCATGGTGAGCAAACTAGGATCCCACATGCCATGCAGCATGGCAAAAAAAAAAAAAGAGGCACTCTTCATGGTTGGAATTTGTGATGGGCTACATAATTCTTCAAGGGTGAGCTGGGGATCTTTAGATCAGATTCCCCAGAAAGGGTCTTGAGATTCTTAGGGCTAAGAATAGCTCTGGGCCAGTGGTTCTTAACCAGGGATGATTCTGCCCCACAGGGGACACTTGGAAATGTCTGCAGACTTTTCTGGTTGTCATGACTGTAGGGGAGGGAGGTGCTCTGGCATCTGGTGGGTGGAGGCCAAGGATGTTGCCCAGTAACCTACAATGAGCAGTATGTCCCCACCGCAGAAAATGATCCAGCGCCAAGTGTCTGTCATGTGGAGGTTGAGAAACCCTACCTTAGCATGAGAGACTCTCCAGCTGTCAGTGATTTCTCACCGAGGTGACTTTGCCCCCAAGAGACATTTGGCAATGTCTGGGGAGATTTTGTTTTTAATTTATTTATATTTTTTATTTTTGGCTGCGTTGGGTCTTCGTTGCGGTGCGCAGGCTTCTCATTGTGGTGGCTTCTCTTGTTGCGGAGCATAGGCTCTAGGCAGGTGGGCTTCAGTAGTTGTGGCTCCAGGGCTCTCGAGTGCAAGCTCAGTAGTTGAGGCTCACGGACTCTACAGCACAGGCTCAGTAGTTGGGGCGCACGGGCTTAGTTGCTCTGCGGCGTGTGGGATCTTCCCGGATCAGGGCTTGAGCCTGTATCCCCTGCATTGGCACGCAGATTCTTAACCACTGCGCCACCAGGGAAGTCCCTGGAGAGATCTTAAATTGTCACACTGTGGCGGGGGAGTGGGATGCTATCACTGGCATCTAGTGGATCGAAGCCAGGGATGCTGCTCAACATCCTACAGTGCATGGAACAGTCCCCATCCCAGAGAATGATCCCACCCCAAATGGCATTAGTGCCCGGGTTGAGAAATCCTGCTCTGGACATATTGTAGGCACTTAATAAATGGGGAATGAATGAATATCCAGCTGGGCTCCAGCAGGGTGACAGGCCATCTTCCAGATCCCCCTTGGGTGGAAGTGGAGGAATATAGGGTAGATTGCAAGAAGGACTTCCTGATGTTGGAGGCCATGCATAGATGGGGGAGCTGGGGGAGTCCCAGGGCAGCCTGGCCCCGAGCTCCGTCGGCCTGTCTCTGCCTGCCCTGAGCCCGGGTCCTCCGCAGATCCTGCTCCTGGCCTTCCTGAAGCTCATCGATGAAGGCAGCCACATGGTGATGCTGGAGTGTCCGGAAACGGTCAACACGCTGCTCCACGAATTCCTGCTCTGGGAGCCCGAGCCCTCGCCCAAGGCCCTGCCCGAGCCCCTGCCCACGCCCCCAGAGGAAAAGAAGTAGCCGCTGAGCTGGCAGGGTAGCGCTTAGTGAGCCGAGGAGCCTGAGGAGGGGCCCGGAGCCGGAGTTGGGTCTGCCGCCGGCGCGGACCACCTGGGCGGGCCGTTCGCTCCAGTGGGCGGGGTCAGGTCAGGGATACGCCCCCCAGGCCGGCTGGGCAGGACGTGGCGTTCGTGGGAGCCAGGTGGACACACCGCTCTCTGCTAGTCCTGCGGGACCCATCGGTTTTTCGGGGCCATAGCCGGGACCCCCGCGGAGGATGACCTTGTACAGATGCCCCCTACCCCAAAACGCCAGGGCCGAGGCAGGCCACCACCCCGCTCTCTGTCTTCCGTGTTCGCCGTGCTTGATCCTGGGACCCACGAGCCCCGCAGGGACCTCCGAGACCCCGCCCCAATGCCCGAGACCCCTTACCACCCCCCCATTCCTCGGCGCTGGGAGCTATTGTGGCCCAAGGAGGGAGGGTTTGGGAGGGGCTGGCACCACCGAACCCGCACATCTCAACTTGTAACTCAATAAAAAGTGACAATCTGAGCCTCCGGGCCTGTGTTGGGTGACCGAAGCGCGGGGCCGCCCTGAGCCTCAGTTTCCCCAAGTGCAGACTGAACTGAGTCGAGTGCCTCCCTCTCTGGGCTGGCCCACAGAGACTTGAGGATGTTGGCCGTTCAGGCTTGTTTCCCGAGTTACCCTCCCTCCTCAAAATGCAGGGGCTACTCGGGCAGTATTTCCAGAGCAGAAGGCAGATAGGGGGTGAGCTGCCCGTCCCTCGAGGGGAGGAGGAGAACCAACTGAGGTCGATGCTGAAGTTGAGGTGAGGATCCGAGGACGGTTGCATCCGATTACAGTAGCCATAATTGTGTCAGCTGTATGCAAAGCCCTATGCTGAGTGCCTGACACCCAGAGGTTCATTGAATACCCTTCACTCCACACCACACAGCAAGTTAGTACCTCTTACTGTCCCATTTTATCTTATAACTTGGTTTTGAGTTGCTTTTGTCATGATGATTTTTATTTCGAATCTTTTTTTTTTGAATCCAGATTTCTCTGGATTTCCCTGCTCCATGGCTGTGCTCTTGGTCTTCTGTATTTTATTCTAATGTATGTATATCTAGGTTTACCCGTGGTTTGTGTGGCCAGTGGGAAGAGATTTGTCCCCTCAGTTGCTGCACCTTTGGTCCTTTCCCCACTCGTTTGTGAACCCACCTTTAATTTAAACCAGGGGTTCTCAGAGAGGCACTGCTGTTGGTTGACAAATTCTGGAGATGTTTACCACAACTGGAGGGGGAGGTGCTCCTGGAACCTTGTGGGTGGAGTGCA